AACCTCCATAGCCCCCAAAGGCCCCGTAGCCCCCGTAGCCCCCGTAGGCCCCACGGCTTCCGAAGGCGCCCCCGGAGCCGGCGCCCACGTAGGGAGCTCCGGCCGAGCCCACGGCGCTCTGCTGCGGGAAGGAGCTGAGGATGGGCCCGGGGAAGGTGACCACCGAGGCCGGCGGCTGGATGACCACCGTGGAGTCGGGGCACTGCCGCACGCAGGGCTCGTTGCAGGTGTCAGCCAGAGGGGCCGGGGTGGCCACGCCGCAGCTGGGCACGCACAGGCTGGAGCAGGACATCGTTCGGTTTGGCTGGGAGAGCTGCGAGACAAGGCACGGCCACGGCTCAGGCCAAGGACTCGGCCCGAAGCCCAACTGTTCCAGGGATTCCAGGCGTTCTGAACCGAGCCCCATTCCATCCAAATCCCTGCTCACATCCCTTGCTACCCTCACCAGCCCTCAGTCTTGCTTGCCCATGGGAATTAAGAAGACTTTGACATCCAAAGAAGCAAAGTCCTCACGCTTCCCAAGCCCTTGGTCGCCTGGTAGAACCCCAACCACCCCAACTCTGCTCTAGGAGAGCAAGAGGAGCCCACAGCCAAAGGTTCCTCCAGAAAGCCCCAAAGATTCCCTGAGAAACTCAGGGATGAAGAAGGAAAGAGGAGGGAAGGCTTGGACTTACCAAGGTGATAAGGCAAGTCAAGCGGTGGAAGGTGGATAGAGCTCTGTGGAACCTTTGGACCTTTTATACATCTCCCAAAGGCCCTGGGGCATCAGGAAAGGGAGCGGTGGCAAAAAACCAGGTAATTAGGAATTCACGCTGACAAGCTTCATCAGAGAGATAATGATGCAATACAATTATACACCTCAACATCAGGGAGATTGGTGTGGAAACGTGCCCTGGACCATGGGAGGTGATGGGAGGAACACCTATGGCCCATTATTAGGTGACAGACCCTGCTCTGTTCCTAATCCCTCACTTTGCTTACAAAGAATCCCAAGCATCCTTTGGGACATGGCTGTGCCCAGCACCGCCACGTTGAACCCCAGCCAGGCCGTACCCCTGAGCCAGCCGTGCCTGGTTGGGCTTGACCTGGACCATGGCTGGGACCAGCCTGGATCTGGGGGGCTCAGCCAACACCCCCTGGGCCAGCCCTTGGGGCCGGCTGGGCAGTGCAGGCCCTCCAGGAAGGCTCAACCAGGACCCAGCTTGCCGAAACGGGGCTGGAGGAGCCACAAGGACACTTCAGCTCCTCCCATGGTGTCCCCTCTGTCATGGTCGTCCCGGGCTCTGTCCCACCGATCTCCACCTTCCCTGCCGGTTTGGGGTTCCACCAGTGGGATTTGCCCCCGGTGTGGGGCCACCAAGGGAAACTGGGACATGGAGACCCCAATGTCCTCCAGAACCCCCTAATTCTAACCCTAACCCTAACACCAACCTTAACCGTAACCCTAACTCTAACCTTAATCTAAACCCTAACAATTCACAGATGTGTCAGGGGACCCCAAAACCTGGCCATGAACATTTTTGCTGGCACTGGCAGTGGGTGGGATTTGGGAGACACCGAGAGTGGCTTCTGCTTTGCCCAAGCTGCCGCTGCCTCTGTTTACCAGCCCGTAAAAGGCTGATAATGACAGGGGTGATGGCTGAGGCAGCCCTTCAAAGCTGCTGCAAGATGCCGGGAATTGTTCTCTGTAAGCAAAGTGAGGGATTAGGGACAAACCTGGGTTTATTGGGGCTGTGAGCTGAGCGAGCTCCAGCAGCACCGTGTCTGTCATGTAATGATGGGCCACGGCTGTCCCTCCCATCACTTCCTTCACGTCCAGGACACGTTTTCACACCTGTGTCCCCAAGGAGGGGATGCCATGGAATTATCTTGCAACATTATCGCTCTGATGAAGCTTGTCAGCGTGAATTCCTAATTACTCGTGTTTTCTGTCACCGCCCCCTTTCCTGAAGCCCCAGGCTCTCTGGGGTGTATAAAAGGGCTCAGCTCCCTTCACAGCTCCATCCACACATCTCCACTTGACTCCTCTCATCACTTGGGTAAGTGCAGCTCTCCAAAGCCTCTTGGAGATCTCTCTCTGGGAAATTCCTTCCTCTCACCTTTACCTCTTTCTTCTCTGGGTGTTTTCCAGAAGACTTTCCCAGTCTCAAAGATGTCCTGCTCCAGCCTGTGCGTGCCCAGCTGCGGCGTGGCCACCCCGGCCCCTCTGGCTGACACCTGCAACGAGCCCTGCGTGCGGCAGTGCCCCGACTCCACGGTGGTCATCCAGCCCCCGGCCTCGGTGGTCACCTTCCCCGGGCCCATCCTCAGCTCCTTCCCGCAGCAGAGCGCCGTGGGCTCGGCCGGAGCTCCCTACGTGGGCGCCGGCTCCGGGGGCGCCTTCGGAAGCCGTGGGGGCTACGGGGGCTACGGGGGCTACGGGGCCTTTGGGGGCTATGGAGGTTTTGGAGGCTGGGGCTATGGAAGCCGTGGTCTTTATGGGGGTTGGGGCTATGGAGGCCGTGGAGGCTACGGCGGTTGGGGCTGTGGAGGCTACGGAGGCTGGGGCTATGGAGGCCTTGGCAACTGTGGCTACGGCGGCTGGAGCAGCGGCCACCGCTACCTCAATGGCAACTGCGGGCCCTGCTAAGCCCCAGCGCGAGCGCGGCCTCAGACCAAGAAGAGCTCCAGGAGAAACCCCGGCACATCCCGACCCGACGCTCTGTGGACCAAAACCCCTTGGGCGTGGCCGGGCTCTGCACCTCGGGAGCCTGGTGCCAGCTTGGGAAGCAGCTCTGCCTTGTCCCTGCCCTGCCTGAGCATCCCCGAGGGGCTCCTGGTGCCACGGTGCTCCCAGAGACTCTCCCGGGGCTGCTCCTGCTCACCCGGCTGTGCCCAGGGCCAGGCCATGGCAAGCCCTTGGCCATGACCCTGCTCTTCTGCCCTGCCCCTCCTGCCCTCCCCCTGCAATAAAAGCTGTCTTGCATTGCAATGTTGACTCCTGGTTTTCCTTCATCCTGCCTTTTTCCCACTCCCCAGGCTCCCGGCTGTCTGCTGGGCTGCTGCAGTGGCCCTGGGCAGTGCCCTGGAGCCCGGGCACAGCTGGCTCCCTGTGTCCCAGCTGGGGATGTCCGACCCCTCTGGCTCTGGGGGGCTCATCCCCCCCAGCTCCCCGTGCTCTCCCAGCAGCAGGAAACTCAGGACACCCCCAAAGCCCTCGCTGAGGATGGGAAAGGGCCACGAGGGCCTTGCAGAAACTCTTCCAAATCCTGAGCCGGGGCAGCAAAGCTGACATCGCCTCTGGGACTGGGCTCTTGTACTGGAGATGGTCACAACACAAATCAATTCTCCATTTTCACATGGCATCAAACCATTTTTATTATACCACGCATGCTTTTATACATTCTTACAAAACTCATCAATTTACACTTATGTCACAAGAGACAAACAAAGTTGCTCATTGCAATAGGCAGTTGCAGGTTTCTCTTATTTCTCCTTATTTCTTTCTTGGTTTCTGTGTCAAGGACCTTGGTAGGAAATTCTCTCAGGGGTGAACATGGATCCTCTTCTCCAACTTCTCTCTGGCTCACAGAAGTCGCTGTAAATCCTCTCCCAAACAGGAGCGGGATTGCACGGTCTCATGGGAAGGGGCAGGGAAATGCAGGATGAGCTCTGCATGTCCCAGGTGTCCTGGCCTCTTTGGCTGGAGGTGGTGGCAGCTGGGAAGGGAGGAGACAGAGCCGAGCACATCTTGCCCAGTCTCCTCTCCACGCCGTGGAATGACCACAGGGTTCAGTCCCGTGGAGCTCTTGGAGCAGAAGCGTGGAGTTCTCATCCCTCTGAGGGCCCTGCTATGGCCTATTGATCTGTCTGAAAATTTCTTCCCCTATTAACACCAAAAACTCCCTGGGTTTGTGATCTCATATTTGTTTTAAGTTCTTATAGATCAATTTTAGACAATATTATTTCATACTCTGTCCCCTTGAACTCTGAAAGAAACAGAGAGGCTGCTAGGGAAAGCAGGGTTAAAATGACCCAGGAATTCTTCCTGATAAAGGACAGAATTAGCGGCAAATGTCACACAAAATCAGTAAAATGAATCTGTATGAACCTATTGTAAAATTGCATGGATATATATCTGAGAGGGGAATAAGAAAGGATCTGGAGTTGCCAAAGGCACGCGTGTCCTATTGAGAGAAACGATTCCCACAGGCGTCCAGCGCTGTAATAAACACACCCGCGTTACAACTTTCAAAGAGTTGTAGAGTTTGTTTGTTTGTTTCCGCAAATCACCGGGACCCTCGGGGGGCTCCACTCGCGCCCCAATCCCCACCAGCTCTGGGGCTACAGGCGTCGCTCGGGGGTGTCCCAAGGGCAGGGGGCTGGCGCTGGGGCCCGGGGCTCCTTTGGGGCTGCAGGGAGGAGCCCGGAGCGGGCAGGAGCCGGGCAGGGATGGGCAGAGGCGCCGAGCCCAGGGCTGGGCAGGGTCCGGCTCAGGGGGGCTCTGCTGCGGGGCTGGGGTGGCCAAGGACGGGCAGGAGGAGCCCGGGCAGCTGCCGGGGGCTTCTCATCCACCGTGTCCGAGCGAGGCTGCCCAGAATCCACCCAGAACCCTCCCGGGACCCTCCCGCGACCCTCCCGGGACCGCCCGGGCCGGGGTGGGCAGCGGGTGCGGAGCAAAGAGCAGCCGAGAGAGGCGGTGAAGATTGCAATGCGAGGCAGCTTTTATTGCCGTGCGGGGCAGGGGGGCGGCAGCGGAGCGGGGCCCCGGCCGAGCGCTCGCCGCGTGTCCCGGGGGGGACACGGGCAGAGCAGGAGCCGAGCTGGGGCCGTGCCGGGAGCGGGCAGCGATCGCTGCGGGGCTCCGAGCGCGGCGGGAAGGCGGCGGAGCCGGGCCGGGGGATGTCTATCTGTCTGTCGGTGTGTCTGTCTGCCGGTGTGTCCTTGCTTCGGGCCTTGGCTTGCGGGGATGGGCCGGGGGCGTTCGCGGAGCTCTTCTGGATCAGGGATGGTGCTGGGGCTTAGCAGGGCCCGCAGCCTCTGGAGCCACCGCAGCTGCCCCCAAAACCTCCGAATCCTCCGTAACCTCCGAATCCCCCAAAGCCCCCGGAGCCACCGGAGCCCCCGAAGCCCCCGTAGCCCCCACGGCGGCCGGAGGAGCCGCCGAAGCCGCCTCCGACGTAGGGAGCTCCGGCCGAGCCCACGGCGCTCTGCTGCGGGAAGGAGCTGAGGATGGGCCCGGGGAAGGTGACCACCGAGGCCGGGGGCTGGATGACCACCGTGGAGTCGGGGCACTGCCGCACGCAGGGCTCGTTGCAGGTGTCAGCCAGAGGGGCCGGGGTGGCCACGCCGCAGCTGGGGACACAGCAGGACATCCTAGAGACTGGGAAAGGCTTCTGGAAAAAAGAGGCAAAGGTGTGAGGCAGGAATTTCATGGAAGGAGACAGAGAGAGATCCACGAGAGGCTTCGGAGAGCTGCACTTACCCGGGTGATGAGGAGAGTCAAGTGGAGAAGTGTGGATGGAGCTGTGCAAGGAGCTCAGCCCTTTTATACACCCCAGAGAGCCCGGGGCATCGGCCGGGGCTGCGGGCAGACCCCCCCGCCAGTAATTAGGAATTCACGCTGACAAACTTCATAAAGTGAAGGGACGCAGAAAAATTCTGTCATCCCCCCATTGTGGACATTGGTGTGGAAAGGAGTGGAAAGGAGAGAGGCGCTTGCAGGGACAGCCGTGGCCCATCATTAGGTGACAGACACGGTGCTACTGGAGTTCACGCAGCTCACAGCCCCAATAATGCCAGGTTTTGTCTCTAATCCCTCACTTTGCTTACAAAGAATCTTTTGGGACGTGACTGTGCCCGGCCTTCACCACCCTGAGCCCCAGCCCGGCCGTGGCCCTGAGGCAGCCGTGCCCAGCTGGGCCTGTCCTGGGCCAGCCTGGCTCTGGGGGGCTCGGCCAACCCCCCCTGGGCCAGACCTCGGGGCCAGCGGGTCAGGCCAGAGCAGAGCTCAGCCAGGACCCAGGCTGCAGGGGCTGAGTGGTTCTGGATCCTCTCTCTGCTCTCCCGCTCCTCTCTGTACATCTCCCCTTGCTCCTTTATGCCCCTCCTGATCCCACCCGTGCCACTCCCACAGCCGGGCCAGGATGGATTTGGGTGAAGCTTCCTCTGACATAGGATCTTCCCCTCTGCTTTTCGCACCATCGTCACTTGGATCGGGGGCTTAACAAATCCTCCAGCGGCACAAAAATCCCTTCGGGATTCTCCCTCCCAGACCCCCCATGCCCAGCCCTGTGCCCAGCCCTGTGCCGTGTGGGGTGACCCTCCTCGGGCAGCACATGGCTGTCTGTCTGTCTGTCTGTCTGTCCGTGCTCGCCCAGCCTGCCCCACTCCGGGACTCTGGTCCTGCGCCCTCCCCTGCCACGTTTGGCGTTTGGGATGCGGCCCGAGTGGGTGGGATGGCTTCTCCCTCCCGGCGTCCCTATTTAGCAGCCCGTAAAAAGGATTAATGACAGAATAAGTGCCGGCTGTGCCATTTCAAAGAGCTCCTGAGCGATGCCCAAAACTCCCGTGCATAAGCAAAGAAGGGGATTAGGGACATGTCGGGGTTTATTGGGGCTCTGATCTCGGCTTCAGCAACAAATGATCGTACACACAGAGATTGGTCATGGTCTGTCCCTCCGGGGCCTGGTGGCTCTGCAGGACACCTTTACTTGTTCTAGCCCCGGTTCATACAGATGTAATTACCGCACATTTCAGTTTGTGTCATGGGGTTGGTCCGCTTGAATTCCTGATTACTGCAGGTTTGCCCCCACCCCCTGGACGGTGCCGCAGGCACTCTGGGGTGTATAAAAGGTCCGAGGGCTGCACAGGGCTCCATCCAGCTCTCCCCACTTGAATCTGCTCCTTGATCGCTGTGGTGAGTCCGAGTCTTCCCTCCGTCCTCTCTTCCTCTTCTGTGCCTTTCCTGGGCAATCTCTGCCTGTGGAATTCCCAAGGAATCTCTGCCTGCGGAATTCCCAAGGAATCTCTGGCTGTGGATTTCCCAAGGTATCTCTGCCTGTGGGATTCCCAAGGGATCTCTGCCTGTGCATTTCCCAAAGTATCTCTGCCTGTGGGATTCCCAAGGGATCTCTGCCTGTGGAATTCTCAAGGGATCTCTGTCCCCGAGCTCCAGCAGCTGTCCCAGGGCAGGGCTGGGATCGTTGGGGTTCCACCAGCGGGCTGAAGGTCTCGGGGAGCCCGGTGCTTGGCATGAGGGAGTTTTTCTCCATTGCCACGGGCAGCAGGAGCCGGGGCTGGGGAGGGCAGCAGGGGATGCCAGGAGCCGCTCCAGCCGTGCCAGGGCTGCGCTGGCAGCGCCTGGGATGAGGCAGAGCGAGTCCTGGCCCAGGGGCTCCAGGTGGGCCAGAGCAGCAGCTGGGCTTTGGGCCGAGTCCTTGTTGTGAGCCGTGGCCCTGCCTTGTCTTGCAGCTCTCCCAGCCCAACCGAACGATGTCCTGCTCCAGCCTGTGCGTGCCCAGCTGCGGCGTGGCCACCCCGGCCCCTCTGGCTGACACCTGCAACGAGCCCTGCGTGCGGCAGTGCCCCGACTCCACGGTGGTCATCCAGCCCCCGGCCTCGGTGGTCACCTTCCCCGGGCCCATCCTTAGCTCCTTCCCGCAGCAGAGCGCCGTGGGCTCGGCCGGAGCTCCCTACGTGGGCGCCGGCTCCGGGGGCGCCTTCGGAAGCCGTGGGGGCTACGGGGGCTACGGGGCCCTTGGGGGCTATGGGGGCTATGGCAGCTATGGGGGTTATGGAGGTTTCGGGAGTTACGGAGGTTTTGGGGGTTACGGGAGCTGTGGCCGCGGTTCCCGCTCCTTCGGGGGCTCCTGCGGGCCCTGCTAAAGCCCCCAGCCCGGCGGAGCTCAGCGCTGGCCCTGCCCGCGGGCTCCTCCGGCAGCCGCTGCTGCCTTGTGCCGCCTGAGCCGGGCTGAAGCTGCAGCCCCTGCTCAGGGCCGGCGCGGCAGCCCCGGCAGCTGCAGGGTCCCTGTCCGTGCCGTGTGACCCCGCAGAGCCTCGGCCGGCGCCTTTGGCCTTCCCAGCGCTGCCTCCAAACGCTGCCCCCTCTCTGCGCCCCCAGCCAGCTGTGCCCAGCTGGGCTCAGGCTCTGCCCTGCTCTGCCCAGCCCCGAGCCCCGGAGCCGCCCTGGCCAGGGGCGATCTCTGCGGTGCAGCCCTGGGCTCTGCCTCGCTGCTGCTGCTGCTGCTGCTGCTGCTGCTGCTGCCTTGGGATTTTCGTGTTTCCATGGCGTTGGTGCTGGTTTGTCTCCCGCTGACAGCGCCTGTGGCTTTTTGACTCAAAATAAAGAATCTGCATTGCACGAAATACTTCTTTTTGTCATGGATTTCTTCCTCCTGGCTGTAAATGAGTCTCTGACTGAGGGATGGTGTGGAATGTCCTATGGTGGAGTCGCAGGACGGTTTGGGTTGGAAGGGACCTTGAAACTCATCCTGTTCCACCCCGTGCCTTGGGCAGGGACACCTTCCACCGTCCCAGGCTGCTCCAAACCCTGTCCAACCTGGCCTTGGAGCCTGCCAGGGATGGGGCAGCCCCAGCTTCTCTGGGAAATCCATCCCAGGGCCTCTCCACCCTCACAGGGAACAATTCCTGGCCAATGTCCCACCTAAACTGGGACATGGAAACCCCAATGTCCTCCAGAACCCCCTAACCCTCACCCTAACCTTAACCTTAACCCTAACCTTAACCTAAACCCTAACCTTAACCTAAATCCTAACAATTCACTGCTCTCCATCAGTCTGAACCCATTCCCCTTTGTCCTGGTATCCCATCCCTTGGGAATTTTCTCTCTCCGTATTTTTGTTGCCCCTTCAGGTCCTCCGGGGCCACAACTTTGTCACCTTAAAGCTTCTCCAGGCTGAACCATCCCAGTTCTCCCAGCAGAGCTGCTCCATCCCTCTGATCCCATCCTGGAGGCTCCTCTGGGCTCTCTCCTCTCCCTGAGGGCGTTTTCCAAGCGCCCCTGGAGCTCTGGCAGCCTCAGGAATGTAGCCATTCCCTGGGGTTCCCGGGCAGTGCCCAGCAGCCTCTGGGGGAAGAACCTTCCCCTAAAATCCATCCTAAACCTGTCCTGGCACAGCTTCATCCCATTCCCTGGGCAGCCTGGGCAGTGCTCAGCACCCTTTGGGGGAAGAATTTCCCTGATATCCCACCCAACCTCCCCTTTTTTTAAAAAAAAATATGATAAAGGAAAACAGAAAATGTATTTAGGTCGAGAAAATTTATTTGGAAAGAGAAGCTTTCCTACAATTGTGGAACAAAACTGTACAGGATACAAAGAGCATCGTTCCGGGGGTTCAGCGAGGCTCTGGCAAATCACCGGCATCCAAGTGATGCCGCCTGTAATAAAACGGGGTAATTTCCCTTTTTTGGCAGCGTTGCCGTGTGCAATTCCGAGCATTTCAAGTCACCTCTCCAAGCTCAGTGCCAGTAAAAAAAAATCCGCGATAAGCCGAAGCGCGGCGGGAGCAGACGAGCGCGCCGCGAAGCTGCGGGAGAACAGCTCTAAACTAAGGGAAAAAAAAACCCGCTGGGATTTCACCCGGAATTTCCCTTTTCCCGGGGGCTCAGCACGTCCAGCGCTTCCCGGAGCGGTAGGAGTTGCAGGGATGAGTCCATTGCGACGAGTAGCTGTAGGAATATTTGGGGGCGCAGCGCGGCTCCGCTCGGGCCACCACCGGCGCTGCCACTTTGTCCCCCGCCGTCACCTCGGCGGCCACCGCGGCCTGGGGCTCCACCAGGGCCACCTCCGAGGGTTCCGAGGCTCCCACGACGGTTTGCTGCGGGTACGTGGTGAGGATGGGCCCCGGGAAGGTGACGACCACGGGCGGGGGGTAGATGATGACCCGCGAGTCGCCGCAGGTCACCACGCAGGGCTCGTTGGTGCTGCTGGCCAGAGGCTGGGGACACTTGGGCTCGCAGGGGGTGGCGCAGGCCAGCTGGGTGGAAGCCATCACCTGGTGGTGCCGGGGGAGAGCCTGCGGGGTTCGAAAAGACACAAAGAAAAGGTCCAAAAGCGAAGGGAAGAACTCCCGGAGGCTCTTGGATGTTGGCATTTGGGTGCGAGAGATCGACAGAGGAAATTGGGATAGAGACAGAATTTGAGCGATGGTTTGTTGACATTTGGCTCTAAAAGATCGTCGGAGATAATCGAGATAGAGACAGAACTTGAGCGTTGATTTATTGACATTTGGCTCTAAAAGACTGTCAGAGGAAATTGGGAGAGTTAAAATTTGAGGGCTGATTTATTGACATTTGCCTCTAAAAGATCGTCAGAGGAAATTGGGATAGGGACAAAATTTGAGCGCTGGTTTATTGACATTTGCCTCTAAAAGATCGTCGGAGGAAACTGGGATCAAAATTTGAGAGACAAAATTTGAGAGCTGGTTTATTGACATTGGGCTCTGAGGGTTTTTAGAGGTAATCGAGATGAAGACACGAGCCAAGGGCTGGTTTATTGACATTTGGCTATAAAAGATCGTCAGAGAAACTCGGGATAGAGACAAAATTTAAGCGCTGGTTTATTGGCATTTGTCTCTAAAAGATCGTCAGAGATAATCGAGATAGAGCCCTTGTTTATTGACATTTGGCTCCAAGGGTTTTTGGAGATAATCGAGATAAAAACACGACCCGAGCGCTGGTTTATTTGGCTCTAAGTGGTTTTTAGAGATAATCGAGATATCTCTCAGGGGACATTGTGCTCCTAAACTCGGGAAAAGTCGAGAGTTGAGCACTCGGCTATTGACATTCTAAGAGATAATTCGGGTAAGAACAAGAGCTGATCGCTTGTTTGTTGACATTTGGCTCTAAGTGGTTTTTTTAGAGGTAATTCCGATAAAGACAAGAATTGCTCTCTTGGCTATTGACGTTTCGTTTTGAGATCTTGTTAGGGATAATTGAGGCAAAAACAAGAATTGACCACTTGATTATTGACGTTTCGTTTTGAGATCTTGTTAGGGATAACTGAGGCAAAAACAAGAATTGCTCTCTTGGCTGTAATTTCCTTTTAAGACCTCGTTAGGGATAATTGAGGTAAAACCAATAATTGCTCTCTTCATTATTGACATTTGGCCTTAAGGGATCCTCGGAGGTAATTTGGATGCAGTTTTATCGCCCACCTTTAACTTTCCCGCCCCGGTTTGTTCTGAATTCCTGTTAAATTTCCCCTTTTTCTCCTCCTCCCCGGGAGCAGAACTCCTCCTCTTTTCCTCCCCTGCCACCTCCCAGCCCTCGCCCTTTGCAGGAATTCCCGAGGACGCGCTGGAACTCGTTCCCACAGCGCCTCTGTTCCTCCCACACTTGGGAAAAGGAAAAAAAAAAAAAAATCCGGATTTTCCACCTATTTCAGCGTGGAATAATCGCCTTAGCACCCTGCTTAATTTTTGTATTATTTTCCTTGCAGATTCCTGGTGTTTTCAGGCAGGAAAATATTCTGCTAAAACACAGGGAAAAAAGCAAAAGGCTGAGAATAGGTGGGAGAGTTGAGTGCTCGTTTAATAAGTGAAACATATAATTAAAATATTTATATAATATAATATATATGTTAAAATATTTATAGAGTGATATAATCAAGCCAAATAAGAAAACTGCTTTTTCACCTAGGGGAAATTCATTCGATAATGTTTATTTCTTCAGGTAAAATCCTCACATAAAAGGCTGGTGTAGTATCAGAATATTTTTTTTAAACTTGTAAATTAAATTTATCCTTTTTTGATAATTAAAAAAAAAATCAAAAATACCCGTGCAGGGCATTTTCCTCGAAATTCCTTCAAGTTAGAACGCAGCGCTGACCTACAGAAATTCTGAATTTTATCTCTGTAAAAGCGCTTTAGAAACGCAAATGACTTTTAAGAGTTAGAAATGAAAGTTATTGGCACAGTTAGGTTAATAATCCATAATAGTAGCTTGGTGTAGCTCGCTAGGTTCCAATTAAATTAAGGACGAGCTGATCCAAGCAGCAGCAGAGCTGCACCGAGCTCAGTTTCAAGCAGGATTTTCCCCAGTTTTCCACGAATTCCACCCTGAACCCTCTCCCTGATCGTGCCACGCAACCAAACGCGAAGTTAAATCCATCCCCGAGACTTTCCCAAATATTTTTCCAGAATTCAAAGACTGAAATCCTCATTCTCCCATAAATCCCAAATCCCTGCAAAAGCCCCGCTTTGACTTTCGCCCCCTTTGCCCAGCACGAAAAGCGCTCCTAAACCCCTCAGAACCAGAACATTCAGGCAAAGCTCAGCCCCGATTCTGATGAGAAATCCACGCCAAAAGCAGAAGGGAAATTGAGGTTTTTAGAGCCGGGGAGTCCGAACTTACTCAGAGAGGCGGAGAGGAGGAGTCGGGAGAGGCAGTGAGGAGATGCCAGGGTGGAGAGGGGATTTATACCCTGCCCCGATGGCCGGGGGCGGCTGAGCCACCCTTTGCTAAAGCGCTTTAATGACTCGGGAGCCGAGCCCGGTGCAGCGACCGCCGCTGGAGCCGCAGGAATTGTTTTGCTCGCTGTTTATGATTATCTAAAGCCGCGTTGGGCAATAACCCCAAAAACGCAGGCGGCAGCTCGCCAGGTCTTTTCATCTCGGAATTTCCTGCTTTTCTGCTCCCGGTTTCATTAAGAGGTGAAAATGCAGCGAGAATTAATGAGGGTTTTTTTAGCTTATCGTGGCTAAAAGCTGGAGTGCGCAGGGAATCTTGGAGCGCCAGGGTGATTTTCCTTGTGGAGGCAAAACCTGACACAGGGAATTGCGGCCGTGCCTCGCTTTCTTTCCCATAACATTGGTGGGATTTACGGATGCGCTCCTAAATCAGGGGAAGGATCTGGTGCAAAGCTG